CCTATTTTGCAGTTGCCCTTTTGCAGTAGACATTTTCCTTAATGTCTCTGGGTTTATTCATTATGACCTTATTGCTTGTTCTATTGCTGAATTGGGACAGAAACCAAAGGAAGGGAAGAATAGGAAAGATAGGAGCCTCATTGCTGCTTGTATTGCCATATGCTGCTATTACATTTGGAAGGCTAGGAACTCAAAGCAGCACAACAAAGAGATGACCAAGGAGAGCACTTTGAAGGCTATTTTTGAACAGATTAATTTCATTTCCATTAATAAGTAGCTATTGTGTTCATAGGGGTGGCTGTAGTGGGCTAGTATTCTCTGTTTTGGTTGTTTTGCACTTGTGATTTCCTTTGTACTGGATGGTTATATTTGGGTGGTAATATAATTTGTGCTTTGTTCCAAAAAAAAAGACGATCTTGGGTGGTAACGACGATTGGATATAAACTTTTGTTTTTCGCTGTGCTATTCGTGCGTGGTTTCCCAATAGTGAAACACATTATGTTTGTGGAACACGTGATTTTGTGTAAGAAAAATAGCTGATTGACGATTATCACAAAGGTGTTGATTAGATGTGGATCAGAGATGGGAACACGATGATCAATCAAATTTTATATGAGCCACATCACCTCGGATGCAGCAAAGGACAAGGCTTCATACTGAGCTTCCGTAAAGGAATTTGACACATAGGTTTGCTTTTCTATACTCCAAGAGACCAGATTTAGCCTGAGTTAAACCGGATAACTTGTAATCAATCATCCATAATCCATGTCATTAGTGATTCTGAATTAAAATATGTTTTCAATTGTAAGTCCCCATAGTTAAAGGTTTGATCACAGTAAAAATAGTCTTTTACAAAGCGCGGAATTCGTTCTAAATTCTGAAAATCATTATGAGTAAGAGCATGCATACATTGACACACATAGTTCATAGCAAATTTGAATATCTGGATGAGTGGTAGTAAGATACAGAAGACAACCAAAAAGACTTGGGAACAAAGTGGGGTCGTTAAAAGGTTGAGATCCCCCTCCACACTGTTAGTTCCATGGTGTTGGCTAATCTTTTGGCAAAATAGAATCCCATATATGATAGATGTTTTACTAGGTAGAAACCTCTATTTGTTAGGAGAGGTTTATTTTATTTAGACTTCTAGAGTTGCTGCAGTTTTCGAGGTTGACGCAGAAGATGCTACAGCACGATGCTGCAACACAGTGTGCAGGATCAGAGGTCTGAGCACGAACTTACAATTGGTATCAGAGCGGTTAAGCTTAAGTTATTAGCTTGATCTTTGGGTGGTTCGTTGCAACAAATCATGGTGATCTCTTAAAGAGTTTGCACACTTTTTGAAGCAAGATGTGGTATTGATGCAAATCTTGAGGGGGAGTAAATTACAAAAAAGGATGAAGCTCGAGCACATTCAAATGGGAAGTACGTGCATAGATTGTAATGGTAGATTTTTTTTGTTTTGCGCTTGTGATTGTTGTATGCTCTTAAAAGAACTTGGTATTACTTTTCTTTTTACCCTTAATGAGATTGGCATATTTTGTGTCAAAAAGGGGGAGAAAAGGCTTAGTTCTTAAAAGATGCTTTAATCTTGTATGCGCATGGTGCACGATGTATTTTGCCAAAAAATTGCCAAAGGGGGAGATTGTTAGTTCCATGGTGTTGGCTAATCTTTTGGCAAAATAGAATCCCATATATGATAGATGTTTTACTAGGTAGAAACCTCTATTTGTTAGGAGAGGTTTATTTTATTTGGACTTCTAGAGTTGCTGCAGTTTTCGAGGTTGACGCAGAAGATGCTACAGCACGATGCTGCAACACAGTGTGCGGGATCAGAGGTCTGAGCACGAACTTACACACACTTGCTGGCCGAACTAGCAGAGGAGTAGCTGTTGGAATTTTTGGCATTTTTAATAGGCATTAAATGGACCAACTTGGGTATATTTGTCAATAGGTCCACTAACGGTTTTAACCGTTAATTAATGGACGTGTATTCTCTTAAATGAGATAAATATTTTGATAATTTATACGCCAAGGGTAGAGGGTGAATGAGAAATTGATTCTCAGAGTTAACCCGTTAATAGAAGAATATGGTAAGGATTGCAATTTTGCAATTTTACTGAACCAATCTTCTATTATTATTTTTACGTATTGTTTAAAATTAGTTCATTTTTACGGAGTTAACTGGTCATTAATCTCCAATTATTCGGGATAAATTTTAAACGGAGCGTAGCGTAACGGACGTGTTAATGGCTAATTAATCACCATTAACCCGGTATTAAGTGTGCCACAAATGCCATGAGTTAATGGTGTAGGAGTTACATTTTTTAAAATGGCTTGGTTATAAAATCAAAGGCTCTCTCCATTCTCTTGATTGGCTTTTACACGTGAGAAAGAAAGAAAAGAAAGGGAAAACTTTCTTGTTTAATTTTTAGAGAGAGCTCTTGATTTTCCGGCCAACTTTCCGGCAATTCCCTTCAAAGTTTCTGGTCGCCAACGTTCCTATGTTGTTCTTGTTCATTGGTGTGTGGTTGGTCCGTACAATCTCCACACACGATAGTGGTTTTATCCTCGGAGGAGAGTGCCCACGTGTTTCCGGTACGGTAGGCGGGCACTACTACCTTAAGGACAGCTCTGGCGACTCCGCTGTCCTTCCACGGTGTTTTATTTTGCAGGTTTAGTTCATAAAGACCTCGCTGCATTCTGCCCTATGACATAATGTCCTTGCTTTCCAGTGCATAATGTCCTCACAGCCCAGTGCATAACGTCCTCGCTGTCCAGTGCATAATGTCCTCGTTATTCAGTGCTTAATGTCCTCATACAACAAGGCTTTTTAAAGATGTAGAAATTTATTTTCAATTCTGTTTATCTTGTAATATTGTGAATAAATTATAAATTCAGAATTTTATATATTTTTATTTTCCGAGGCCGTTCATCTTCCCCGTCCGTTGTAATCTGTACAAAAATTTTAAAAGTAGCGGCTGGTTTACAGTCATCCTTACCGGCCCAATAAAGCAACTCTTGAGCATATTTTTTCTAGGAAACAATATGGGTTGAGAAATCACGATGGACCTCCAAGTCAAGAACATAGTGAAGAGAACCAAGGTCCTTTATTTTCAACTTTTGACATAAATAGACAATAAAGTCCTGAACAAGAGTAGGAGAGCTCCATGTACCAAGAACATCATCAACATAAACAAGCAAAGTAACAGTATCAGTAGAGCCATGCATGATGAAGATGCTCGCGATGCTCATTTTTGCAGAAACCTATGCACAGGCGTATAAGAAAGCAGACAATTGTTGGAACCAAGCACGAGGAGATTGCCTCAATCCATACAAGGACTTGGTACGATCAAAATAGGACTTCACACTATCATTGTTACATTGTCACATTGCAACTACAACACTATTATTTCACACTGCCATCTATCACTACCAAACACTAAAGTCCCTCCGCCGATCACTGACGTTGAGTGGTGGTCAGTCGGTGGTTGACTAATCACATTACTATATTACATTATTATCACTTTTTTCATCACACTACCAACACTCTTACATCACACTGTCATTGTACTTATATTTTTGTCTTAAAACATTTAGAATTGCTATTTTGGTGTTCTCATACTATTTTACTCTTATCTAGTGAGATTTCTTGAAAATAAAGCACAATCGTATGATTGAAATTTCAATGTGGTGCAGAGGAGATAGAAATTACATCGGCCACAGAAACATTTTCAAAGGGAGAAAGTTCTTAATAGGGCTAAAGCATCCATAGTACTTATATGAAAACTTTTCTCCATATAGGACTAAAAGCTATTACGTTTCCCTTGGATGAGCCATTCTATGTTTTTGCGAATGCTTGTCGATATTGAACACGAGGAGCCTTGGTTCACCCAACGGTTTGATGCAAGAGGTCGGTGAAGTTTTAGTAGCGTTCAAAAGTGCACCGTCGCGCGCGCTTTGTCAAATGGCATACGAAACCGCTAGTGATATGTTTGATGAATACTTGCAGATGTCTGCTCGAAACATCAGGTCATGTGTTTATAAATTCTCTAAAGTTATTGTTCGATTATATCATAAGACATATTTACGTAAGCCGGCGGCGAGCGACATTGAGTTTTTTTAGACAATGGTGTGAATATATTATACTCCCTCCGTTCCATAAAATCCATCCCCTTTCGTTTTTTTTCAATTCCCTAAAACACTTCCACTTTCTATGAAAAAACCACTTTTACTCCTACTTTTTCATACTCTACTTATCACATCATATTTTTCACTAATAACTAAAGTATCACATCTTATTTTTACCCATTACATCAAGGGAAAAATTGGAAAGTCAACCAAAATTACACTTTTCTTATTTTGGCTCAAAGTCAAAATAGGAATGGTTTTAAGGAACGGAGGGAGTACCAAAAAAGACAATGTAAATTGCTAATATATAATGATGAAAAGCATATATTGTCACATTGCAATAATTTTAGATTAAGCTATTTGCACACCAAAATTTGTACCCAAAGGCTAGGATCAACATTTTGTACTAGTGTGATGTTAGTGTGATAATTTTCATTTGCAAAATATGTCACTGCAATTTTTTTAAATAGGCTAACATTTTATGTCTTTGTGAACCGTTAAAATGTCAGTGTATTTTTTTGGGTATAAATTAGGGTAGTGATAATTTTATGTTAGAGAGAAAAATATACGAAATATTTGCACTAAATAGCACTAAAACTTAAGTCATTTCTTTAAATAGCACTTAAATTGTTTTATTCTCTAAATAGCACTTAATAATAATTATAATGACCAGTGATGGCAAACATTTACTTGAATAATGACTAATGGATAATGGTTAAAAGTGCTACATTGGAAAAAAACACATGTAGTGCTATTTAATGAAAGTCATTATGTTTAGTGCGTTTTAAGTAAATTCCTCAAAATATACTCCGTAAAAAGTATTTTTGGTATAAATTCAAAGAGGCGTCGTATATATCAACTTCCGTAAAGGGAAAAGAGGAAAGAAACCTTCTTTCTCTCTCTCTATAGCTAGGATCTACATACCTATATAGGCTATAAGGTAACAAACTCTTAGCTCGCTCATTGGATGATGATGATGATGATGATCTTATGAGCAGAAATTCTTCAATTCTTCATCATCTTCTTCTTCTTCTTAATTATTAGTTGTATAGGTAGGGAAAAAAGGGCCGTCGTCAAAGCAAGAGAAGGTGGATTTTAAGAGGCATGGAAAGCGACCCCTTCCCATGGAAGAAGCATCGCCGCCGCCGCCGGAGAACACCGGCGCCTACGCAGCATACTACGCCGCCGGCACCGATGACTCCACAGTCTTCTCCGGCCTTCCCGCAAACATAAAGCCGCCTTCTGCCGCCGCCGCCGCTCAACCTGTGCCGGAACGAGGTTAGTGTATTACACGTTATACTTATTTCATTTCTATATTATTGGGTTCTAGCTATTTTTGTGCCTTTTCTTTTCAGGAAATTTTTTTTGATCTAAATCATCTAAAAAATAGTGCATAATTAAAAATAAAAATTACATATAAAAATATTACATAAAAAGTTCAATAAAATAAAAAACGATATATATATTTTTTTTATATAAATGATTGATGAAAATATATAAAAAGAATTTGTTTGACCTTATCAATAGTTAATTTGTTAAGGAAGTCGCCTTATATATTTTAACGTCTTGTGTTCCGGTCTTATATTTATGCTTAAAGATTATAAAACTTAATATACAGTGTTATGAGAACTATTTAAAAATGTTAACGTGACAAAAACAATGAGATTGGAGAGAGTATATTATATTTTCTTCTTTCATGCCTCTTTATAAGGAGTGAGAATTTCGCAACTAACGAGAAGTTGAATCTTTAGACCGAATAGCCTAAAAATTCTTCCATTGTTCTTCTGGATACCCTTTTCATTGATTGATTTATTTCCAAATAATTTTATTTAAATTTTGTTGTAATATGGAGTACTAAAAAATAGTTTCTTAAAAAAATATATATGTATGAAAAAATTATAAATTCTACAGAGTATAAAAGAAAAAGTGATATGATTATATTATTTTATTATTATATGATAAATGAAAATATATAAATAGTTTAATTATAAAATATAATAACATGAATAACAATTGTAAAGAATTCACAAATAGAAAAGTATCAAATTAAAGTTATATCTTATCCAAATTTATCAATCTAAATTTGACTTCTCAAAAAGAAAAAGAGAAAAAGAAATCCAATAAAGACATCCAATCCATATACTCCGTATTATATGGGTTTCTTTAAAATACAAACAATGGTTGAAAGCGTTGTTTTTCTAGTAAAGACGAGAGACAAAAAAAGACACTCTCTAATTTAATTAGGATTTTGAAGAAGAATACCATGAAAAAATGATATACTCATACAAGGTAAATTTTTATATGGTCATAAGATTCATGTTTAATTTATGAACCTTAATGCAGTAGTGTTATAAAAGAATTAGAATTTTTACAAAAAAAATATTCATGCATTATATGGAGTATATAAAAAAACGAGACCCGCATGGACAGCTCAACTGGTCTCAGAAGTGGAATCTGAAACAAGAGACCAAAGATCGAGTCACATCAACAACCGTGCGGATGAACCTCTCAAAAAATGAGGGGGGTCCTTGTGCGCAGTAAACACTGGTTCTGACCTCTGTTACCGATTGAATCACCGTGATTTCTCTTAATTACAATCCCGAGATGAACGATGTCACCTTTATGGAACATGAGTATATGGAAAAAGAGTACAAGTCCGAAAATCTTGTGTTACGATAGGGCCATAGGGGGAGAACTTGTTTCACTTTAGAAACCTTTTTATTCTTTATCTCTTGTTAGTTAATGAAACAAAGTGCTTTCGGTTCAAAAATAATAGAAGTCGCTCACTAAAATTATTAGGGTTCAAGAATCAAATTATTAGGCCCACCATCCCCCCATCAAGTAAAACATCATCCTCATCTTTGTTGAGGAATCAACTCCATAACCAACTCAAATTTGTGAGCCACTTTTATTTATTTATATTTTCATTAATTATTTCATAAAATAATATTTTTTCACTTCTTATTTTGTAGAACTTTTGACGTAGTTTTTAAATATGTGATTTTTATTCATTTATTGATGTACTGATTTATACATAAAATGATTTCAAAAAATGAGAAATTTTGTCTCGTAACACTCATTTTGTAATTCAAATTGGGACGAAGAGACTATATATATTCTACCCATCTATGAATGTCATCTTAGGAGGTGTGAATGGGATTGATAGATGAGCGAACTAGCATAGAGATTGCGACATACTCTCTTCGTCCTTAGTGTTTGTCCAACTTTAATTTTTTCAGTTAAAATTAGTAAGTTTTGACTATAAATTAAATAAAAGGTGATATTAAATATTGATACAAAAATAATTTTATTAGGTTTATTTTATAAAATAATTCTAAAATATTATTTTATCTAATTAATATACGATTTACATATTATAGTTAGTTATATGTTAAAAGTTGAAAATGAATGACAATTTAAAGTTAAAATTGGACAAATATTCAAATACGGATGTACTCCGTATGCACTAATATCGTTTTTGGTTAAAGACTTTCTCTAATGGAGAGTTAAATAGATGATAAGAGATGAAAAACCTATGTGTGAAATAGTAATAAGTTTGGTCATCACAATACTATAAATTGAATAAAATTAGAGTTTTGAACTTTGGACAATTGTCTAATAGTCCGTATCTAAAGATATTTTAATAATATTTTCGTCTCATAAAAATTTTTCACATTTGAAAAAAAAAGGTGAAATTTACTAAATGCATAACTTTAGTACTCCCTCCGTCCCAGAAAACATGGGAGTTTTGATTTTGAAGAGGGGTTTAAAGGGAGTGTATTTTGGTATTGAATTTCTAAAAATGTTCTTTGATGTGATGGGTAAAAGTATGATTTGATGGATAGATTATTAGTAAAAAGGTATGATGTGATAAGTGAGTATGAAAAAGTAAGGGGTAAAATTGACTTTTTAATAGAAATGAGAAGTGTTTTTTGGGACGGATAAAAAAAAAGAAGAAAGGTTTTCAGGGACGGAGGGAGTATTAGTTTCCAATTATATTCTTACTTTATTGTAAGGTAAAATATGATGTAATTGGTAATTAATAGTGAATAGATATGATGTGATAGATATATTAGTAATTAGTATGGATTAATAATCGCCTGAAATAAGAATAAAATATAGAGAAAGGACCAAAATAAAAGATCTTGTTTTTATCCCAAAATAAGACTTTACACTTTGATAATGTGCATTGTATAAGAACCATTATTCGCAATACTTTTTATATTATATATTGGCATTATTGGCATTGTATACACATTTTAACTTTTATTTTAGAAATATAAATATGAACTCCTACTTTAGTATATTTTTTATATTTTACTCTTACCTTTGTCTTTTACTCTTTTCCCCCTATGGATAAAAATAAGATTTTTATTGAAAGTGAAAGTGATTTTTGGAACGAATAAAAAGTGGAAGTAGAATGGTTTTTCGTGATTTCTATTTATTTACTCCCTCTGCACGAAAACCTTTTTCAACTTTAATTTTTATCTATCCATCTGGATTTAAAATAGTGCATTTCAATTTAAAATATTTTATTGAAGCTATTTCAATTCAATTTATTATGAAAATCAAAAAAATTTAAAAAAAAAATTACATACGAGTATTTATGAACTACATAAAAAACGAAATAAGAAGTGACATAGTTACGTTATATTATTTTCTTAAATATGTAACAAAAAATAAATAAAAAATAAATCAAATAATGTAAAAAATTACAAAACTCGGGGTAGAGTTTATCTAATATTTTGTCTGTTCTATTTTTCGTCATCTTTTGTCGTCCCTCCATTTACACCATGTGATTTGTTTTTATGTGCTAAGTTAAGTTTCTCTAGTTTTTTTAGCTTAAAATTTCCTCGCAATCAGAGAATTCTTAATGTTATACTCCGTACTAACTTCGCCTCTAGTATTTCTTTAAGTTTTCGTCTCTAAGTATTTCTTTAATTGTAATTTTTTGCAGTTAATGACATTTAATATTTGTTGTATAATTAACTAAAAATTATATAATATTCCTTTCATTCCACAAACTTTCTCCTTTCTTTTTTGTGCCCCAATAATTCTTTTCTCATTTCTATTAAAAAACTATTTTTACCCCTATTAATTTTTACCCTACATATTACATCATACTTATTTACTAATAATTAACCAATCACATTCTATTTTTACACATCACATTAAAGAGAATTTGGAAAAGTTAACAAAAAAACATTTCTTTCTTAAATCTCATTAAAATCAAAACAAGTAAAATTTTGTGGGACGAAGAAAGTATATTAATTAGATAAAATCATATTTTAAAAATATTAAATTAAATAAATCTAATAAAATTATTCTTATACTAATTTCTAATGACAATTTTACTTATTTAGTGTTTTGTCAATTTTAATTACGGAGTACAAAATAGTTAAACAAGACAAATACTTGAAGATAATTATATGCTCTATTAACGTGATAGCTACGTACGACGTACGTTCTTCAATGGGAGAACTTTCGAGATAGGAGTAAAAAAATACTCTCTCCGTCCCTGAAAACCTTTTTTTTTCTTTATTTATCCGTCTCAAAAAATGTTTCTCATTTTTATTAAATAATTACTTTTACCCCTATTAATTGTTAACCTATCGATCTATCACATCACATCTATTCACTATTAACCTACTCATCAGTTCTTATTTTTACCCATCACATTTAAGAATATTTTTGAAAATTCAACACCAAAATAGACTCTCCTTAAATCACTTAAAAATCAAAATCTCCCAGATTTTTAGGGACGGAGAGAGTATGAAAATACAAAAATAGGAGTCATATATCTTTTAACACCAAAAATAGGAGTCATATATCTTAAATCACTGTCATAATCATTACATTGTCACATTGTAATTGTCACACTATCACCGCCACACTGCATGCTATTGCGGTCAGCCATCAGAGTGTCGTCGCGGATCACCAAGAGTTTACTGATCACACTGACATATTACATTGTTATCACTTTTCCATCAGACTCCCAACATGTACACACTACACTACACTGCTTATTTTGATCTTAAAAAACTTAAGACTCATATTTTAATATGTTCATATTTTTTTGTAGGGAGATTTCTTTTCTTTCATTATTTGATCACTTTGCTGCTCATAAAAAAAATCATGACTTTCAAACACTAAATACGAAAATTAATTAAATATTGTGAAACAAACAAACATTCCTAAATAATTGGTAAAATGATTAAACTAAAATATCACTAATTAGGTCATGTGGTTGAATGTATATAATGTGAAACGCATATATG